CGTCGTCATCATCATTACAGCCATCATTATCATAATTATAATAATCATCATCATCGTCATCATCATTATAGCCATCATCATCATTATAGCCATCATTATCATAATCATAATAATCATCATCGTCGTCATCATTATCATCCCATTCCAAATTAAGTTCCTTCAGACGCCAGTTAACTTACCTATTATTATTGCTAGGATGTCGTTAATGTTAATAATTACAGTTGCCGTATCATCTTTGCTATTAATTGTCATCATCATCACCATCATCATTATCATTATCATCATCGTTATCATCATCGTCATCATCATCGTCGTCATAGTCGTCGTCATCATCATCATCGCCACCATCATTATCATTATCATCATCGTTATCATCATCGTCATAGTCGTCGTCATCATCATCATCGCCACCATCATCATCATTATCATCATCATCATCGCCACCATCATCATCATCATCATCACCATCATCATCACCATGACTGAACTAACTCTCTCGCAAAAGATTGTCTTCTCGCGTGATTAGCCGCGTATTAACGAGATCGTTCTTATGCATGTGTGTGCGTGTATGTGTGTTTGTATGTATGTTTGTATGTCTGCTTGAGTGTATGTTTGAATGTATGTGAGTGTGTGTGTGTGTCTGTTTGTATGTACGAGTGGATGAATGAATGAATGCTTGCATGAATGAATGAATGAATGAATGAATGAATGAATGAATGAATGGATGGATGGATGGATGGATGGATGGATGGATGAATGAATGAATGAATGAATGAATGAATGAATGAATGAATGAATGAATGAATGAATGAATGAATGAATGAATGAATGAATGAATGAATGAATGAATGAATGAATGAATGAATGAATGAATGAATGAACGAACGAACAAACGAACGAATGAATGCTGTATAGATGAATTATATCAAGTTAACAACAAATATTATAACATTGACAAATTTTCATTGCATTTGACACAAACAAAACAGAAACACAACAACAACAGCAACAACAACAACAATACCAAAAAACAACAAAATAGTCAGATAACCAAAGAAATAAATTAGGCGCTGCATCAAATCGATTTTGTATCTTTGGTTCCCAGACCGAAAACACGACACGGACCAAATATCAGCTGATCATAAACTGAAATATAGATTTTTTTTGTTTCTCTAGGTCTCATTCTCTCTCTTTCTTTCTCTCTCTCTCTCTCTCTCTTCATTCTCTTTCTCTCTGACTCTTTTTCTAAATGTAATGAAGTAAAGAATAATGAAAGAGCGGAAAAAAGAATGAATGAATGAAGTCCATTAAAAAAGATAAATGGATGCAGAGAGAAGAACATGATAGAATGAAAGAAAACATAAATGCGCGTGCAAGCCAGTCGTACACACTCATACATACATACATACATACATACATACATACATACATACATACATACATACATACATACATACATACATACATACATTCATACATACATACATACATACATACATACATACATACATACATACATACATACATACATACATACATACATACATACGTACAATCAAACAAAGAAACGTACATACATACACACATACAAGCAAACAAAAAAAACATACAAACAAACATACAAACACACATACACACGTGTCATCTCATATAATATGTACATATTTATTCAATTGAACTTATCGCACTCGTTCACACCTATGCTACTTGATCATTTCCAATAATAATAATAATAATAATAATAATAATAATAATAATATTTATAATAATAACAACAGCAATTGATTAGAGAAGATGATCGTTACGTTGAAAATTTCAGATGTTATATGGATTGCTTTTTGCATGAAAATAAAATTAAATTGGGGCACATATATATATAAGCATATATATATATATATATATATATATATATATATATATATATATATGTATATATTTTTATTTATATATGTATAGTATATGTACGTGTTTGTGTATGTGTGTCTTTGTGTGTGTATGTGTGTGTGTATCTATTTTCCGAAAATTCCATTACGTCATATCTGCAAAATATTAAACAATAAACATTGCCGATTGCAGCTCTATAAATTTCAAAACATTACTACTACTACTTCTACTTCTGCTACTACTACTACTACTGCTACTACTACTACTACTACTACTACTACTACTACTACTACTATTAGTAGTACAATTTTTAATAATAATCAATATTATTAGCACTAGCTATTAGCACTGTACATAATTCCCACCAGAAACAACGGAACTACTGGCCATTTCAGACAGACATATCTCACCGGCCAGCAGCCATGCAATCATCCTGCCATACAGCCAACTCCTCCAATCAAACCATCGTCATTCACAAATCACCCTTCGGCCGAGCCTCTGTGGAATTTTCCCCGACCATGCAACCACGTTCGGCGAACACGGGCGCGACTTTGTCGACGACGGTGCCAGCGGAAACATACAGACAGAACTCCGCGGAGAACGCGCGAGCCTTCCT